TTCCAGCACCATCCCTGCCAAAGGCTTAATTATTCTCTTCCACTCCTTCTTCTCCTGCAACCTGCTGTGTTTCTCGAAGCCCTTCCTTGGGCTGCTGTTTCTGCCGTGGGTCAACCTCCCTACAGCACACATCGCTCCCCCAAGTTCACCAAAAAAGCTGAGCATGTGGAGCCGAGCCCCTTCTGGAATGGTTCACGCTCTCAGCTGAGCACCATCTCCCCAGCTGAGTGAGCTTTCTGCCCATCGCAGCGGTGCCACTGCCCTGCGGGGCTCACGTGCCATCCGCTGGGTGACTGGCCCGGGGAACCTTCCACAAGGGGGACAGACTGGGCAATGGTGGGAACTGCAAACTGCAGATGCCCAGGGTCTTACCTTGCACCGGTCTATCGCGTGCTTCAGAAGGAGCCTCCTGTAGCTGTTCCCAGGGCGTGATGTGGATTCACCTCCTCCTCTCTCCTGCAAATACACAGAGGGGAGATTTAGTGGGTAGGGGCATGAGGCCGGTAAGTGACGTGGGGTATTAACTCTGCCCTTCTCATGATTTGAAACAAGGCAGGCTTTGATTACACCCTGGCATGCCGATTTGGTACGAATTCTTCCTCCTGGCAAGCTGATGGCAGCCTCTGAGGCTTTCCCAGAAGAAGGGGAATTGCTGCTATAGCTTTGCCCTGCTCTCAAATTGATTCTCTCATTGGCAGTGCCTTAAGCACTGCTGCACAGGGGCAGCAGGCACCCAGGCAGGGACCCCGGAGCTGCACACGCTGAGCTGCCCTCTCTCCATTTCCTTCTCTCAGCCTATCATAGAATCACAGAATCACAGGTTGGAAGGAACCTCAAGGATCACCTGGTCCAACCTTTCTGGGCAAGAGCCCAGCCCAGACAAGATGGCCCAGCACCCTGTCCAGCTGAGGCTTGGAAATGTCCAATGTGGCGGAGTCAAGCCCTCCCCTGGGGAGATTATTCCAATGGATGACTGTTCTCATGGGGAAACATTTTCCTCTCATGTCCTGTTGGAATCTTCTCAGGATCAACTTGTACCCATTCCCCCTTATCTTTTCCATGTGACTCCTATGAAAAGGGAGTCTCCATCTTCCCTGTAGCCACCCTTTAGCTACTGGTACGTGGTGACAAGATTCCCTCTGAGCCTCCTCTGCTCAGGGCTGGACAAACCCAGCCCTCAGCCCATGCCATCCATCCCTCAGGATTAGCCTGCACTTCCCTTTGCCCTCCTGGCAAACCGCTCACCTCAGCTCACTGCTGTTCACCAGCACTGGCCACAGCCCCCTGCACTAGCGCAGACCCTCTGGAAGGGGCTAATGCCGGTGTGGCCACAGCCTGCGGCTGCTGGGTCCACCCCCACCGCTTGATGAGGCTTTGGTCTCATCCAGAGCCAAGGCAGACTGTGCCCTGGCTGGAAGCGGGGCGCTCCGGCCACGGGAGCAGAGCTCAGTGCTGATGGCAGCGCTGGCTGAGCAGATCCCTACGGGGCTTTGCGGTGGGTCAGGCAGCTTCTGCTATGGATTATCGGCATGATGGGCAATAACAGGTCCGGCGAGGGGGGAGACTTGTGCTTGGGTCAAGCCCACCCACGCTGCAGTGTGGCTGCGCCGCTGTTGGCGGCAGGGAGCTGCACACTTTTTCTCTGCCATTTCCCAAGGTCCCCATCTCATCCCCAGCACGGTCCGTCAGCACCTTCGCCACAGCGCTGCCCTCCAATCGCCCCAGACGCGCCCACGGTGGCTGCAGCACCTGCCGGGGCAGAGCTTGCTCCCTGCAGCGGCCGGGCAGCCAGCCAGCAGCCGGGATGGGGCAGCAGCCTCTTCCTCAGCACAACGCGGTGGAGAAAAAAGTTCAGTCAGAGAACAGGGATTTGAAGTCAGATTTGAGCACAGTTGGGTTTTGCCTGGTGGCACTTTTCAGGAAAATTGTGGTTAGTTTTTTAACTTTCTTTCCCAGACTCTGGATTTTAAAACATAAAAATTCAAGAAAAACCCATGACTTTGGCAGCAAAATTTGTGAGAAATCGAATGTGAGCTTTGAGGACCCCCAGGAAAGGCTGGCTGTCCTCCTCCAGCCACTCCAGGGCCAAGCTGTGTCCTGGCAGTCCAGCGTGCAAGGAGGGATCCCGCTCCCACTCTGCTTGGGAAGGCTGAGCAGACTCGGACCTGCCGGAGGACCCTCAGCTTCGCAGGACCCCTCCTGCTGCCACCCCCTTCTCTTCATGGAGCCCTGCATCTCGCAGATCGTTCCTCCCCCTCCTCTTGCTGTCGATGGAGAGCAAAATACTCAGTTTGCCCTGAAAGCAGGGTCTGCGACACCTTAAGCTTCTGGAGGGACTGAATGAATCACAGTGCAAATAAGGCAACACTGGCTGAAGCAGCGTCAGAGCTGCCCCACACCTCGCCCCATGGCACCAAGACCCCTCGGCTGTGTCCCCACTGCAGCAGCATGGGGCAGCAGGGCCCCCAGCCTGTTCCGGGCATCCCAAACCTCACTTGGGCTCAGCATGGGGTTTGCATCCATCTCCCCAGGGAGAAAATACCAGGGAAGGGTGGGGCCATTTTCAGGGCAAATCAGGGAGCAAAGACCAGCCTGATAAGCCCCCAGACTGACAGGATCGTCAATGGGGAATAAAGGCGGTGAGTGGGGAAGCCCAAAGACCCCACCAGCCTGCGCGTGGCCGAGGCACCTGTCGGCAGCATGGGGGCTGCATTTGGCAGGCTCCGGCTGCTCCTTTAATCTGTTGGGGCGGGTGGCACTGGCAAGGAGTGTGGCCTGGTGGCCTTGACTGGCCCGATCTGACTGCTGGCCTGGGAAACACGTCCTGTCCATTGGCTCCTCCACTTGGCACCACCATGCTGTTTGCCTTGTGCTGCTGGGGAAAGTTCAAAATCCTGGTGATAGCGGAGTGGCCAGCGCATAGCCAAGTCCTTAACTCTCTGCAGGCTGGAGTGGGGGAACACGGGTCCTTCCGCAGCACCCGGGGCCATGGCTCGGGCTTGGTGTCCCTCCGGAGACTGTCCCCGTCCACCCCTGTGGGTGGGAGCACCCGCTCCCAGGCATGTCCCTTCATCAGGCTCTGGAGCTGGGAGGGGTCCCAGTCCTGGTACCCTCAGTGAGATGGGACGGCAGAACCCTCTTCTCCTCTCCCCTACACCCTGGCATGGTCCCTCCGGCCGCAGAGCCAGGCAGGACCAGTACAGGGGCCTTGCTGCCTGCACTGCTGCCCATTTCGGCTGCCTGGCTCTAATGTCGACGGTCTGTGAGAAGCCACCTGCCTGCTGGGCTACATGGAGCTGTGAGCCACGCTGCGAGCTGCGCCGGCACAGCTGCTGATGGAGCGAGCCATGTGTGCCGTGCTGTGCTGTGCCGTGCCATGCCATGCTGTGCTGTGCTGCGCATGCCGTGCCGTGCCGTGCCGTGCCGTGCCGTGCCATGCAGTGGGAGGCAGATTTCCAGGCAGGTTAATGCAGAATTGGCCAGAGTCTTTGTTCAACGGTGCTTGAAGGTTTCACAAGCTTGAACAAGTGTGTGGTTTCTTAAAGCATTAGCCAGGCACTGCTCTCATCCCCAGCACCTCCCCGGGGATGCAGCCTGGTGGGACCTTGGGGTGCAGCTGGGGAGATACTGGCAATGGGGACACATGGTACCCCTACGCCCAGCCCAGCATGTGCCGAGGATAAGTGGGACCCAAACAGCACTGAAAACTTTAAGGGACAAGCTCTTGGCTGGGCCGTGCAGCCCACAGCCTGCTCTCAAAAGGCCCCTCCGTGCAGCTGGCATTGCCCCGCAGCACTGCAGTCTCCATTAGGGACATCACCACCACCCCAGCGAGCTGCAGAACAAACATGGCCACCGCCAGGAACTGGGAAACGGGGAGGAGGGCACCCAGCGTGGGCTGGGGGCTGGGGAGAGGAGTGCAGGTTTGCAGGGATGGGTGCGGAGATGAGCCCAGGGCAGCACTAGGCTGCAGCCAGGGCTGGTCCTGCTCTCTGCCCCTCTTGGAACACACAAGTGTCCCTTAATGTCCCCCCCCCGTCCTGCAGCTTGCTGACCCACCTTGACCAGGCCCACACTGGTGGCTGGCCCTGCCCACCCCACTGCCTGTGCCTGCCCCCGGCTGAAGGCAGCATTTCCAAGCCATGCCTGGCGTTAAAAGGAAGGGCAGAAATAGTTGCCCCAATGCTGCAGTGCGGCAAGAGACACAGCAATACGTGGCCCTGGGCATCTCACCCAGGTGGGAGACCTCCCTTCCCGTACCCCAGGGCCGGAATGCAGCCATCCTGGTTGGGGGCAGCAGGGTCCCACTTCGGACCCAGAGTCCAAGCCTCAGTGAATCAATTCCTCCATGTGCTGTGCTTTAATTGCAGGGGCTCGAGAAGCCTGGTGTGGGTCTGTGAACTCCTGGTTTAGGTCTGTGCTGCTCTCAGTGTGAACAGGAGCTCAGGGTGCTCCTGTGGGTGCTCCCATGGGTGCCAGGCAAGCAGCCCACAGCAGAGCCGCATGGCTGTGCCTGCTCTGGACTTGCCACCAGGCTGGTGACCCTGGGTGTCTCTTGAGGCATGGCCCCCTCAGGAGATACCTGAGCTGGGAGGGCTCTGGGATGGTGCACCTCAGCCTCTCCTTTGCTTGGTGTTTTAGTGGGAAGCTGGTGTCTCCAAAGTGGAAGAATTTCAAGGGCCTGCGGCTGCTTTGCCGGGATAAAATCCGTCTCAACAACGCTATCTGGAGAGCGTGGTACATCCAGTGTGAGTACAGGACCAGACCCCACTCTGCCTGCTGAGTGCTGGGCAATGTCGAGTGGGATGGGGCTGGCACCGGGGCAGCAATGTACGGGTGCGTGTCCCTCCCCTGCCCAGGGACAGAGCCGGGGGTAAAGCCAACTGTGTTTTCCCCTGTGCAGATGTGGAGCGGAGGAAGAACCCTGTGTGTGGCTTCATCACCCCGCTGGAGGGGTCAGAGGCTGATGAGCACCGAAAACCAGAGGTAGGGCATGGTCCCTTGCAGCTCTCTGGGCCTGGAGGCGGTCTGGGTGGCAGAGATGGGAGCTGGGGACACACCAGGGGCAGAACTCATATTTCATAGATTTGCTGGAGAAGGTGTTTCTGACCTGGCACAAGGAAACCAGCCCTGGCTGTGGGGGGCTGGGGGGCTCAGCCATGACCCCCTGTCCTGCCCCCCCAGGCTGTCGTACTGGAGGGCAACTACTGGAAACGCCGCATAGAGGTGGTGATGAGGGAGTACCACAAGTGGAGGATCTACTACAAGAAGCGGGTGAGTGGCTCCGCCTGTGTTGCTCCCTGTCCCATGGTGGTGTGGGTGGTGGGGTGGGACGGCAGCATGCCCAAGGTGGAGCCAGGGCTGACCAGGAGTGGGACACGGCAGGCTCTGGACAGCGTGGGAGGGGGATGCTGGCTGCCCTCGTGGCACTGATGGAGGGGAGCTTGGTGAGAGGTGGTAGGGAGGTGGGGGGGTCAGTCTGTGCTCCCTGGTGACAAGCAATAGGACAAAGGGAAATGGCCTCCAGTTTAGATGGGACATTAGGAAAAATTTTTCCACCAAAAGGGCTGTCAAGCACTGGAAGGGGCTGCCCAGGGCAGGGGGCGAGTCCCCATCCCTGGGGGGATTTAAAAGCCAGGCAGACACGGTGCTTAGAGACAGGGTTTAGTGGTGGGATGGCAGGGTTAGGGGAATGGTTGGGCTGGATGAACTTAAAGGGCTTTTCCAATCCAAACGATTCCATGATCCTGTGACCCTGTCCCCAGCTGCCTGTGGTGCTGCAGTGTGCTCCGGCACCCCGACCTAGGCTGACTGCGCCCTGATGGTGCACGATCTGGGGCTGGGTTTGGCAGCACATGTTGGTGTGGGCCAAGTAGGGCCACGGCTCAGCAGAGCACTCTGGCTGGGCTGGGGTTGGCTGCTGGCAGCCATGGCTCACCCCGGCAGCACAGGCTGCCTGGCAGGCTGTGTTGGCTCTGCATTGCTCTGGGTGCCCACTCTCAGGCATGCTGGCACCACAGCCTTGGCCGCCCACCGCAACAGGGTGGAGCGTGGTCCAGCCGCCTTCCCAGCCACTCACCTGGGACCAATAAAGGCCAGGGGTGCCACGGGTGGGCAGTGTGCCGGCAGCCTCACGCTGCCACACACTGTCAGACTCACCTCTGTACCAGACGCTCAGCCCAGACCCCATAGAGTAAAGGCAGATGAGAGCTCGCGGTGGCAATGCCGAGCCCCCAGGAACTTCCCTCTGAGCGGTCCCGTCTGCCCCGCACCGCACCCACCCTGGCTGGGGGTGACACAGGCTGTCTTCTCCTTCCAGCTTCGCAAGTCCACCCGGGAGGGAGAGGTCTCCAGCCCAAAGCGGGTGAGTCCATGGGGGAAGGGTGGGGTGGAGGAAAAGGGAGGCGCAATGCAGATCCCTGCACTGGGCAGCTTGGGAGAAGGGTGGGTGAAAGCCCCAGGGTGTGACAAGCCCAATGGGATGGGATGCCAAGCACTTGGGATGCTGGGTTCACCCTTCTGGAAGCACCAACGGGCCAGGTGTGAAGCTGTGGAACAATAGACACTACGGGGAGCATGGGAGCTGCTGGGAGGGCAGCTGGGGAGCCAGGCGTGGACCCCAGCTGTGCAAGGTGCCCACATGGCTCCTTTGCTCCGTCTCATGCAGGATGAGGATGTCTGGAGGCCAACGGAGAAATGGTGCAACCAGCTCTTCTGTAACGTGGTGCCCATGCTGCTTGGGGATGAGGAAGAGGAGCCGGGGGGTAGGCAGCACTTCGACTTGGACACCTTCCTCTCAGACATCTCTGACACCCTCTTCACCATGACACAGACACCCAGCACCCACCAGGCACTCCCTGAGGATGGTAGGTGCTCCAGACCATGCTCTAGCAGGATGTGGAGGCGGTCCAGGCAGGCAGAGTGCACCATAGCACCTTGGTGCCTCTTGGCTTAGCCCCTGAGAGCTGCTGCCTGTGTCCTTTGGGCAAACAGGACCCCCTGACATCCATCCTGCCAGGCTGGGAGGAGGGGATGCTCCCGCCCTGCCCAAACAGAGCTCTCATGCTGCGCAGGGCTGGAGCATCCCCTCCTCTGGTGGCTCCCTGCAGACCAGCCTGGGCTGCCCTAGATGGCATGGGCTAGCAGCCCAGGGAGCACTAGCCCCATGAAGGACCTTGCACCAGCTGCCAGGGCAGGGCTGCTAGCCTTGGGCAAGCAGTGGGCAGATCCTGCCTTCCGTGGCCACTCTTTGTTGTCCCTGCCTGGCCAGGTCCCTGCAGAACCAGGCAGGTCCTGTGCCAAGGATCAGCCTTTCCCTGGTGCTCCTGGGCACTGGATGGAGGTCCCAGAGGTGCTGGTGGGCTGGGTGGTGGGGACGGCATGGCCGTGGGTCCCCACAGGGTGCACACCCACCTCCCTGTCCATGCATGGCTGCCAGGCAGGGTGCAGTGGTGCGGGGTGATTCTGGGGTGCCATGGGGGGTGGCAGCCAGGCAGGTGGGAGGGCAGGGGTGGGACGAGCCCTGAAGTGGGGTCCTGGGGTGCAGTGGCTGGGCCCCGATGTCACAGCTCTGCCCTCTTCCAGCGTATGTTGGGAATGCTGACATGATACAGCCGGACTTGGCACCCCTGCAGCCCAGCCTGGATGATATGGAGATCTCAGGTAGGAGCCAGCCCCGATGTGGTACCACATCCCACACAGCCCAGCTTGTTCTGCACCCCACAGCAGCCCAAAATGGGGATGTCAGAGGCTTGGCCAGGCAGCAGCAGGAGCTTCTGGGGCAGCCAGAAAGTACTGGACATCCGCTGGCATGGAAAAAGCACCATGCATGGGCCAGGGTGCTGCGGCAGGCTGCGGGCAGGGGCTCGGCATGCCTCCCCGCACGGGGCAGAGCCATGGCAAGTCGGGAAGGGCCTGGACAGGAGCTTTGGGAGGGGATTTCTACAAGCAGAGGGTCTTTCCAGGGGTGCCAAACCACCTCACTTTGGCTGCAGACAGAGGAAGGACAATTGCCCCCCCCAAGAGATGAAACCTCTAGAAAGCAGGTTCTGTGCTGCTGTGTCCCAGGGAACTGTCTCAGAGCTGGGACCCCATGCTGGGCTGGACTATGTCCCCTGGGGACAAGTCAGGGCCCAGAGACAAATCTGGCACTGATGTCCAGTGGGGGGGGAACGCTGGGAAGCGGGCAAAGGCAGCCTCCTCCCCTGGGGCTGCCATACAGGCTCTGAGCCACGAGTGTCCATGAGCACTGTGGAGTCATCTGGGACAAGTCCTGGTCCCAGCCATGCAGCGCAGTGTCCCCATGTGCCAGGGCAAGGCACCACTGGTGCACGCTGCACCGAGGACCAGCTCTGCCCTCCAGTATGTGGGAGCCGGTAGCCTAGGCAAACTTTGCAGGGAGGGAGCCAGTGTGGGTTGTGGCTGCAGAGCCCCCAGGTAGCTGGTGGGCTCGGGCAGCACCAGCATCTCTGGATCCCTCTGTGCATCTGTGAGCACCCTGCAAGCTCCACAGCTGGTCTCCACTTCCTTCAGTGGGAGGAAACATGGGTGCTTGCGCCATACAGCTGCAGGGTGATGCAAGACTGGCTGCTGGCGGGGAGCAGGCTGGGGCACTCTGATGTGCTGGGGTGGGCAGGGGGCTGCCCCAGGGATGCGTGGGGTGGGGAAGCTCCTGCCAGCCCTCCTCAGGTCGCTCCCGCCAGAGGTCCCACCAGGGTGAGCCCTGCTGGAAGAGGGTCTGTCCCCACTGCTGGCCTTTTGCCTCTGGTCCCCCAGTGCCCTATGAGGTGGGATAGTTCCAAATGGGTCAACCTGACACTTGACAAGTGTCCCTTCCCCCAAGAGGTCCAACCCCTTTCAAGCAGCTCCTTGCCGCAGCAGTGTCACAGCAGCAGCCCCAGCCCCTATCTTTGTGGGCCCAGCTGCCGTTTGTGCTGCTGGCGTGGCACGGCTTCGTGCTCAGCAGGAGATGGCAAGGGGCATGGCACTGCCCATTTCCACCAATATATTTCTATGAGCAGCCAAGTTGTCTTTTTTTTTCCTGGGGAGAAGGCCTGCATATTGCCCCAGGGTGCTGCCTGAGAATGGCATGGGGCTTACTGCAAGCCGCTACATTCACAGGAAAGCATTCCTTCCTGTTCTGCCCATGCCCAGCAGCTCCACGCGGTGGGACGGCTGGGGTTGGGGAGGGTCCCAAGCCCAGTCGGGGCCAGGGACAGCATCCCAGGCTGTTGTCTGCCCAGGCACAGGCTGCTGAGCACAGCTGGGGAGAGGCTTGCGTGCCCCAGGGCTGGGAAGCACCCTGTGGGGGGCTCAGAGGCTCGTGGGTGGAAGTTTTGTCCCCGATGTGGCATTTCCAGGGGTGTTCCATGGAGCAGCTTGCCCCAACGATGGGGAGGTTATGGTCCCACCACAGCCAAGTGCTCCGCATGAGTGGTGCATGCACTGGCGAGACGTGGGTGTGCACTGGGCGGCAAGGGTGTGCGGGGTGGAGGTGTAGGAGCAGAGGTGTCTCCACCCCACGCAATGGGCAGCCGCCAGGGCTGCGTAACCACAGGGCTGCAGGAGCTGGCGGGGAGAGGTGATGGGGGTGAATGCTGGGTGTTGGGTGCCAGGGCTGTGGGTGCCAGCCAACCCAGCTACCATCCCCAAGGCCACTTTTCTATCAGGGCATGCGACGGCTCTTAGTGACTTGGGAGCAGGGATGCCCCCAGCAGCCTCGTGCGGAGCACTGTGGTGCAAGCCTGTAAGGTGGGCACCGCCACAGTTGGTGCAGGGCTCCTGCAGGGTCACAGGGCTGTCACCATGTCTGGAGGCTGTGGCAGAGCTCAGTGCCTGTCAGTCAGCGCGTGCAAACCCATCCCCAAATGAGGAAGCACCTCGTGGCTGCAGCGGGTGCCAGAGCACAGTGTGGGGTGGATGGAGAAGTCCTGATGGCAGAGGCGAGGGAGCAGCCCAGCCCAGTGCCCCGCTGGCACTGCGCTCCAGGTAGGACCCGCGCTGGGCACTGGGGAGCCGGGGGCTGGGCTGGCCATCTCAGGAGGTGGCATCACCCCACTGTGCTGCAGGGCTCTCCCAGAGCCTGGGGCCAATGCTGGAGGGTCCCTGGTTTAGGAATGGGCTCTGTAGCCCCAATCCCACTGGAAGCAGCCCCAGTTTTGAACAGGATGCCAGAGGGGTGCTGTGCTGACCGCACGGGCTCTTCTCCCTGGAGCAGTGACGTGCCCTGGCCATGCTGCACAGCCTGGGAGCAGGTCAGGGTGATGCAAAGTAGAGAGGAGTGTGGGCAAGGGCTGTGGGTGGGGAAGGGGCAGGAGCAAGGCAGGACGGGGTGCCTGGGGGCTGCCAGCCCCCTTCCATCCCTGCAGCACAGTGAGAGACACAAGAGGAATTGAATCTGCAGAGCTGGGCACCAGAAATGCCTATAAATACCCGCAGAGCTTCAGTGCCAGTGGCAGGGGGCAGCCTGGCGTGGGCATGGCAGGGGGCTGGGGGTGGCGTGGAGCTGGGTGCTGTACGCGTGGCAGGCTAAGACCCTGCCTGGCAGCAACGTGGCCCACACAAAGTGCTGGGCCATGGAGGGGCAGGGATGGCTCTGCCATGCTCCAGGCATTCACTGTGTCCTTGGCAGGGGAAGGGGCGGTTGGAGGGCTGAGTGGGGCAGCACAGCAGTGGCACTGCCCCGTCTCGCACCAGTATTACCCTCGGCTGGCAGCAAATGCACTGCTGGAATCATCACTGTGCTCAGCGCCATGGCATCCCGTTCTGCTGGCACGTTTGCTACTCTGGCGCAGATTCAAAAGGGCCTCAGACCTTTGTGGGTCCCAGCCAGGGCACCCTGGGTGCTGGAGCCTCTGCTGCAGCCCGGAGGGAGCGCAGCCTCCCTGCAGCCCTGCCGGTGCCCGTGGCACGACTGCATGCACCGGACAGGCAGAGCCAGCACGTGGGCTCAGCGGGGTTCTGCCGGGCAGCAGCCCAGGACCGGAAAGCAGTGGTGCTGATGGCAGCCATGGGGCTGGGAGCACGACTAGGTGCTCCCTGGGGGGAGCGCAAGCGCCTGTGTCCCGGGGGCGGCCCATGTGCAGAGCCTGTGCCAGGGGCTGTGGGTCAGCTGCCCGCAAACCCAGCCAGCGCTGCTCCATCCTACGGGGAAGCATCCAGCAGCCGATCCCTGCCCTGCAGTCATTCTCTACGGGGAAAACCCTCCCCGTGGCAGTGCCCGAGCCAGCGCTGGCACAGGCAGAGCCAGCACCAGCACTGAGCCGAGGCATGTGTAGGGGCTGGTGTGCCCGGGGGGCTCATTTCACATGGGAGGCGGCTGCCCATGGTGCCAGGCCAGCCCTTTGCACTGTGGCATCTGAGCCTGCAGAAGGAGTGGGGTTGTGGGAAGGGGAGAGGAAGAGAGAGGGAGTCGTGGCAAGGTCACGGGGCTCGGCTTCGGGAAGGCCATGGGATGTGGTTAGCCACAGGCTGCACGCAAGGCACCACCGGGGTGGGGAGATGAGCACTCGCCATGACCCCAGGGGACCGTCCCCCACGAGTCAGGGACGCTGTAACCCACTCCTCCGAGCCCCCCCACCATGGCTGCCCCGCAGCCTGGCTGTCGTGGTCCCTGACCCAGCCCGGGGCTGGTTCAGGAGGAGCAGCACAGCCATGCACCCCCTGGGACCAGCCCCAGTGCTGGAGCATGTGGCACCCAGCTGGGTGCTGAAGATGGGGATGGGGTCCCCACCCTTGGGTGGCACCCCTGGGCAAGTTTTCCTGTCCCCATGTGCGTGGCAATGCTGGCCCCAAGCACGTGGGCTGCCTCTCCCCTCCATACTCGTGTGTTTCACATCCTGGGTGCCAAATCTGCTGGCAGAGCTGGGAATGCTGTGGCCCCGCAAGGTGAAGGAGGGACTAGCAAGTCCCCAGCAGTGCAGGTAATGGGGTATGGCTCCCCGGCGTGCTCTGGGGCTTGTCACCCTCTTGCTGGGAAGGTCCCCTCATGCCCTCATGTCTTCACTTGGCCCTGCAGATCTCTTTACTGGCCACCGGCCACCACCGTCGCAGATGCAACCGGACTACCAGGAGCCACCCTGCTTCAT